TACGACCGTCGCTCCCTGAGCAACGCGCCGGAGCACCGCCCAAAACCCACCACCAACACCATCACTCAACGGCCTTGTAGTTCAGGCCGTGAACCTAACAGCCGAGACTAGTTCCTCTCTCGACTACAATCGTTTGAATAGAAGACAAGTTCAAACAGGTGCACCACTTAACCATTCCCATACACATCAATCATCTCGACGCACGGTAGACCGTGCTGGCACGCCCGCGCACAATCGCACCGCATCCAAAAGCAGGAAGCCGCGTGTCAACGCATATCCCCTCGGCCCGGAACTCCAGGCCGTGAGATTTGTGCGGCAGACACTTTTGGCACGCCCAGTGGGACACTTGTCAAAAACTTATGGTGGAAACTAGGGTACAGGCAAAGCTAAAAAACAAAGCAGTCGAAATGACTTCTAAGACTCCTGAGTCCACTTCACCAATCACAATTACCGAGACCGAACATACGGTCGGGATCTCGGCCAGCGTTCCAGTAACGACGGATCGCACGGCCAAGTCCATGCAGGAACAGGCAGTAGTGGAGGAGCTAATGTCCAAGCAGGCCTACAGGATAGAAACACCCTTCGTGGCCGCAATGGGCAGGTTCTCCTCAGAACTGCGAACACTTTTTCAGGAGAGGATGCCGGTAGCCTCGCCAGCGACACCTCCCAGAGCCGGACCGAGGAGCCAAGAGCGCGAGAGAATCGAGCCTTACGGCGAAAGCAGCAGCCTCGGCGTCTCGTCCCACACCCAAGCATTAGGCTACGGCCAACATTCTTTGCCATCGACAAACAGCTGGGGGCAGTCCCAGCCCACTTGGGCGAATTCTGGGCCAACCTACTCGGCAGAGATAGCGCGCGGACCGCTCCATGCTTTGGCCGTATCACTAGGGCACGGCAGCCTCACGCATCCTGCGATCCACCCGCTCGGCCCAGTTCATACTGCGGCCGTCCACACCCATCCTGGCCCAAGCAACGCGACCGCTGTATCATCACAACAGTACGGTCAGGGCAATCCGACCGTCTCACCACCATTGCAGGTGTCGTCGTGTCCGTTGGGCTCTCACCTTCACTACGGGTCGGCCATTCCAACGGCAGTGCCGATGCACCTTGGCCAAACCCACGGTGCTCATCTGGCGTCAACCAGCTCGGTCATCCCGGCCGAGCCCCTTGTTCAAGTGGCCCAGCAGATAAGGCCACATAACGAGGTGCTACAGGTCACGCGGCCGTATGCAGCCCAGCAGGAGGCACCACCTCAAGGGATCAGGTTCGAAGATGTCCGGCGGATGATCGAAGACGGCCTAGCTCAGAGGCGGCCGGACGGCCAAGATATACGAGGCCGTACCCGCCAGAAATTGACCGGACCCCTCTCCCCCGGAACTATCGATTGCCAGAATTCATGCTTTTTTCTGGGGATGGGCAGACCTCCTCCATTGAACACATATGCCGTTTCACGGCCCAGTGTGGAGAGGCCGATTCGGATGCCCTTAAGCTCCGTCTATTTGTTCATTCTTTGACCGGCGCGGCGTTCTCATGGTTCATAAACCTTCCGTCGAACTCAATAAGGGATTGGTCTGATATGGAAAGGGTATTCCACGAACATTTCTATCAGACCAACCGAGAAATAACGGTCGCCGAGCTGGCAAGGATGAGCCAGGCGTCGGACGAATCACCTCGCGATTACCTACAACGGTTCAAAATATGTAGGAATTGGTGCCGCACGAACCTACCAGAGAAGGAGTTCGTCAAGATGGCCGAGGAAGGACTGGAATTCGAATACCGGAAGAAATTCCAGGGAATCGAATTCCGGGACATGCATAACTTGACCAACAAGGTGGACAGGTATGCGTCCTTGTTGAAAGAAGAGATGCAAAAGAAGACGACCTCAAAAGGGACCTACTACAGGAATCCAATCATCAGCTATGCCGAAGCAGATGGCTCCGCGGAGGCCGAGGGCGATGAGGTAGAGATGAGTTCGGCCGAAGTCAGCATAGACAAACCCTTCGTTTGTAAAGGGCTTGTTAAAACTGACAATAGCCGCACAAAAATCCCCGACGCCAAGTTCGCGATGCTGGAAACGAAGGCCTACACTTTTGACTTAACAAGGGCCGAGGCTATCTTCGACCTGCTATTGGCCGAGAAAAAGGTCAAATTGTCCTTCGGCCATAAGACTCCCTCAAAGGGAAAACGTTTTGCAAATACCACAGTTCTTGGTCTCACAACACCAACAACTGCGTTGTCTTGCGAGACGTTATCCAGAAATTAATAGACGAGAAGAAGCTCCAGTTTCCAGAGAAGGCGGCCATGCAGGTCGACTCCAAGCCATTCCCTCCACCTGTCGTCAACATGGTCGACGCCCAACTCCCAGCCGGGTATAGGGAAGTTCGTCG